TGTCATTGAGGTATTTGTTCTGGAGGTCATTGTAGAGGTTCTGTGAGTGGGTGTGGTCAGCTCCCAGTTGTCTGGCCAGCTCTGACACCTCCTCCTCCTCCTGACCAGCTCAGCAGGAGCTCCTCTGGCTGACTCAGACTCTGGTACAGCTGCTGGAACGTGGACCTCTGCCTCGGCTCTGGGTGCCTGCAAGCGGCAAACAAACAATTATCCTGCATCAATGATAGGGTAATTTAGTTAAGTTCTCTCAAAAAAATCCATCTGTTAAGGAGTCAAACCCAGCTGAGTGACCAGTAACTCATTCTTGAAGCAAAGAGCTACAGTGACAAACTATTCCCTTCTTGTGTCTGCATGTATGTATAGTGCCGCAGTTAGTCATAAGTGGAAGGCTTGTTTAGTCTAAGTTTGACTATCGATAGAAAGCTTGTTTCTGTCTCTGCCTCCCACTGTATGCCAACAGTCAAAATTCCTCTCTACCTCTCTGGTAGCCATAATATTACAGTCATCTTACCAGGAGGACACCATGAGAGAGTAGATAGCTCTGGGGCAGCCAGGGGGTGGAGGGTGGCACATCTTGCTGTTCAGATTGTCTATCACTTGCTGGTTGGTCAGCTGTTCATATGGCTTCCTCCCCACGGACCATATCTCGTAGAGGACCATCCCAAAACTCCACACGTCACTGGCCGAGGAGTATTGTCGGTAGAGGAGTGCCTCGGGGGCCATCCACTTGACAGGGAGGGGTCTGATCTCTGTGGATTTGTAGTAGCTGTCGTCCATCAGGTTTCTGGCCATCCCGAAATCCCCAATCTGCAGTCCCACATTACCAACAGAAACCAATTTTCACAACAGAGGCAGCAAAATTTTACGGTATACAAACACTATACCTTGCATACTAGCGAGAATTGTATGGTATAGAGAGAATGCTAACACTAATGTGTCACTCTACCTTGCACACTAGTGAGAAATCCAGGAGAATGTTGCGAGCTGCCAGGTCTCTGTGCACAAACCTCTTGTCACTCAGGTACTGCATCCCCGAGACCACGTCGAGACTGAACTGGAGGAGCTGCCGCGGGAGGTAGCTGGTGTACTGCTGACTGGAGCATCACAGACAGAGTTGCACTGATGATTGGAGATTGTGTGGTCTCGTCACACACACGTACCTGAATCTGATTCCACGGAGATATCGGTGGAGGTCAGTGAGAGCTAGCTCCAGAACAATCAGTGACTGTGTATTAACCAACATTGCCACCATAAATAGCAGTTTGTGTGTGCCTCTACTCACTCCAGCACACACACAGACACACACAGACACACAAATGTACACACACACACACACACACATTCTCACAGGGGCAGTGACAGTGACAACGCCGTAGAGCCTGATGATATTGAAGTGGGAGAACTGGCCCATGAGAGCTGCCTCTTGCAGAAACTTGACTCTGTCCTCCTCCCCGGCATCCTCGTGTAGAGCCTTCACCGCCACGTGCAGAGCCTCACCCTCACTCATCCACAATCCCTTGTACACCCGGCCAAACTGACCAGCCCCCAGCTGCTCTAGCATACTGAAAATCAACAACCGAAAAAAGCAAAGTAAAGTAAAAAACAAGCAGTGTGTACATGTATATAGATTAGGCCAATGCATTAGACTCGGAAAGGTTTGGGAGAAACTCACATGATGCTCTGTCGTGGAATCTCTCTGTATCTGTTATCAGAGAGCTGGGAATAGAGGTCAGAGGTTGTCTGGGCTGGAGTCCAGTAGTCTTTCTCGGGATCAAAGAATCCTGCCAGTCTGTCGTACCTTGGAGCCAACCTGTCATACATTGGCTCCTCAGTCTATTGAGGGGGGATATGCAAACAGGATACACTATCTCATACTCTGAGAGTATTGTGGTCCTTACCTCAATTTCTGGTGCAGGTTGGGGTTCAATTGGCCCTGTTCGCTGCCTCTGTTATGAATTTGTACTCAGAGTTAAAGGGGCAAGACTCGTTATACTCACTGTAGTGGGTACATATGTGCCACCTTTACAGTGCGCCTGAGACTGTTGGTAGATGTCAGGGAGGGATTTGCAGACAAACGCAAACATGGAGTGGGAGGAAAGAACAACAAAAAATGATGTAGTCCTGTGCTAATACACACCCAAAACATGGAAAATATTTCACGTACTAGGCTACAGTGGGTAACATGCCCACACCTAAAATGTTGGTAGTACTGGTCCTTGGAGCGACACCCTCATCTGAACATACAACAGTACATATGTAGACTGAAGCTGTTGGACCCTGGCTGACGACCACTCTCTCTCACTTGGATGGCTGTTTGGACGTGCGACCACGTCTCTCTTTCTCCACTTGTATGTAGCTGTATGGACGGTTGTCGGCGCCTCCACTGACTGCTCCGTACGATACGACCCCTCCTCTGATCCCCGAGACCAGAGGGTTGTCTGTCGGGGTGGTGCTGCGAGAACAGAGGGACAAGGAGAAGCTCCAGTCATTGCTGTGGCAGAGGTAGAGGAAGATGGAGGACTTGGTTCTGTGGGAAGTGGACTGTCTCCATCTCCTCCTAGTGGAGTAGATGGAGTTGTCATGTGAGGTGGTGGGAGGTCTACAACTGATGGTGTTGGTGTAGGTGTAGGCACTGCAGAAGTGTAGTTAGGAAACTCTCAAGGGGAGAGATGTTTGTAAGGATATGGGGAGAAATCTATCTCAGATTGCTTGCTCTAACATTCACAAAGTTCATTTTTTAATGGTTCACTTTTGAAAGTCTTCACTTTTAAGTGTGCAGTAATGTTCTCCCTTGAAAGATTCCCACTATGGTATCCTAGTACTAACTCACTCACCTATATCATCAGGCATTGATGGAGAGACTGAGGTTGTGGGCATTGGAGATGTAGTGACTGTAGTGGTGTTTAGCTATATATAGCAAGTATATATGACTGGGTGACACCTACCAATACTGAGGCTGATGATGGGAGTTGCAAACGTTGACTCACTGAGAGAATAGTAATTACTGTCACCTGATATTTGAAACCCACAACTAGTAGGATTGGGTCCTCCAAGAGCATAGTGTGACTTTATGGCTTCCCTTCTGTTTCTTGTTTGAAATAAACTACCACATTATTGCCACCTTCAATCCACTGAATACCGCCATAATCTCTGTCTTCACCATTTCTGAAAAAGTCAACATAGTAGCCCACCACATCTCCAGACTGGACCTCTATCTGCTGGTCTTCTGTCACTGACAGTACCACACAGCGACGGAGTGGGTCATTACTGTCTCCTGGTGGACTGAGGAATCCATCCTCTCCATCACTACCCACTGGTCTGTTGAATCCCACTAGACTGTAACATCCACTGCCATTGGGTCTCCACACTTGGAACTGGATGTAGTATTGCTCATTGCTAGAGCCACCAGGCTGTACACAGGCCCCCATTCAGTGACTCTACCAGAACACTGGAAAGTATAGGCAGGCACTATGGCCTGGAACCTGTCACGATCAGGTACTTCGCTCCTTGGATCATCATCTCTTCTATCTCCAAACGGTGATGGCAGATTGTCGACACTACACTGCAGTGCTGCCGTAAGCCATTAGTAATTAATACATTCGCATCCAGCAGCACTCCGCAACCTACCTGGCTTGACTATTACCAACAGCAGTACGAGCAGTGAGACTTTCTTCGACATCACGAACAACGCACGACGAACGCAGCGAATCGGGAGAGATTGCGCATGCGTATGTACGGTTTCTTCGCGGTTCGCCATGCTGAGATACACACAAATAAATCAGAGTAACATCACAGGAGTTCTATGGTTCTATGAATATTGGATTGTATATGTTTTTCAATGAGTGAGTTTCAATGTCTTCCGGTCTGAGGAGTGATGTACTTGTTCTGCAGGTCAGAGAAGGAGTGGGAGGAGGAGGAGGAGGAGGACCTGAGGAGATGTCTCCCTCCAGCCACGTCCTCTGGAGTCCAGTACAGGAGCTCGTCCTGAGGTGCTCGCAGAGAACGGAACACCTTGTCAAATGTCGGGCGAAGATGAGGCTCCGGATTCCTGCAGACAAACAAGAAACACATCTTACACTGAAAGAATGTCTCAGACTGGGAATAAATTACTGATTTTATTGCCAGTTATATGGTACATGCTTGCATCTGGAGCATGTATGTAGTGTACATGAATTGCAGTGTCTAATAAAATTAAATTGTGTTCAATGAGGAAACTAATCTGATTACTACAGCACACAGTTCCCCAGAAAAAACAGCTCCAAGTGGGAACAGACCTTCACGAAATGCACATGTGACATCCTATACACAATTATTATTGGTATGGATGATCGAGCACACAATGCAGGAAACTGCCTCAGTCAGCCTTATTTGGTGTCTCGGTAACTGTGTGTGTAGTAAGACTCTATAGCTACCATATATTGCAATGCATGTGACCCACATGTATAGAAGGCACTCGAAACATAGTAAGTTGGGTGTTGCACAACCAAGTGTTTACTCCTAATATGAGGAGTAAAGGCCACCCACCAGCAGTCCACCATGATAGAGTACACAGCTCTCGGACAGCCAGGGGGCGGGGCCTGGCACTGGTGGTTCTGGAGACGTGCTATCACATCAGCGTTGTTCAGATTCTGAAAGGGTTTCAGTCCCACGGACCAGATCTCATAGAGGACCATGGCATAGCTCCACACGTCACTGGCTGCGGAGTACTTCTTGTAGAGCAGGGCCTCTGGAGCTGTCCATTTCACCGGGATCTTTCCCCCCTTTGACAAGTAGTACGTGTCGTCCATCAGGTCTCTGGCCATTCCAAAATCACCAACCTAACATCAGGGAAAAGATTGTAAATCTAGTTGTGGCCACAGCTATTGCTGTCCTGCCTTGCACGACATCCGGTCATCCAGGAGAATGTTTCTGGCTGCCAGGTCCCTGTGGACAAACGACTTCTTAGAGAGGTAGGCCATCCCAGCTGCAATCTCTCGAGAAAATCGCAGGAACTCCCTCGGGAGATGAGCCTGTTCTTTCTTTCTGTGGAATAGTATGAGATGCAGTGTACATACATATTGACTGTTGTTGTGTCATTATCTCACCCTACAACCATGTGGTCCAGATAACTTTTCATGTCTCCATTGGGCATAAAGTCCAAAACTATCAACACCTGTACCAACAGGGAAAGTAAAATAATTTTCACATTCAGCATTCTCAGTACATTCTATGTGGGTCCAGTTGAACATAGTTATATACAAACATTGGCATTATATATAGGTATTTCATTTCAGATTGGTGATTTTGGAATGGTGAGAGACATTGCTGGGTCTGGAGGAGGCAGTGACTACTACAAATCTCACGGAGGAATCATTCCCGTCAAATGGACTGCCCCTGAGGTGAGTAGCAATCACAGACTAGCACAATACCATGCAGTGTGTTAATGTTTCTCTATTATGCACAGTCTCTGAACTACAACAAGTACACTAGTGCCAGTGACGTGTGGAGCTATGGAATGGTTCTGTTTGAAATCTGGTCTCTGGGCTACAAACCATTCCACGACCTTGCCAACCCAATCGTAAGACCACTCCCTCTTTTCTCTCTCTATCATGACAGTATGCTGAGTTGATCCCTGTCATTACCACAGGTGATAGCTCTGGTGACTAGCAAACACTGCCAAGCTCCGCCCCCTGGCTGTCCCAGACCAATCTACCACCTCATGGTGGAGTGCTGGTACATATGATAACAACTGCACACACTCCCATTGACACCCTAGATCACTCTTTAAGGGGGAATGTGGCAGTATAATATTTGGGCTAAATTGAGGAAACCTATTGCACTGGGCCTATTGTTTATTGCCACATTCATCAACTCCTGGTGTTTCTAAACTATGTCGTTAGCCTAGGGTTTCAACTGTATCATTAGTTAAACTAAGCTCCACCCATTCTGACTCTGCCTTGCAGGAATCCTAAGGACACACAACGACCGACGTTTGACTGCATCCAGACGTACCTGGACTCCCCCGAGGACAGTCTTCTCCAGTGGTCTCCCTCTGACACCCTGCCCGGGAAACAGGCTCATCTACTGGGAGCCCCTCTCGTTGAGGGCAATAATCTGTACATTGATCTCCAACGGACGTACCAGAATCAGCTACTGGCTGAGACACAATCCAACAACAACACATAGCACTATATCCACATTATAATTCTGTCTTTTTGTGTATCTACAATTCTATATAAGGAGCACTTATCAATTTTTGTGCAAGCGCTTGCAAACATATGGACTCAGCGATTTTAGTCATACGTGAGAGTACTAGTGGTCCTGTTGTCTTCCACTGGTCCGTAGGCTGGATTATCAGCTGTTGAAATGGTAGTTGATACGTAGGCAACATTTGTACTGGTATCAATAGGCCTCTCTGATTTACGGATTTCCCCAGATGTGGTAGATATGTAGGCCTCATTTGTTGCAGTAGGAATATCTCTCTCTCCTGAACCACTGGTAGTGCCATAGGCTGGGTTGGTAGTAGCTACAACATCATTGTCCACTGTCCCATAGGCTTCATTTGTATCGGTCTTTACATCGTGATCGTGAATGTTGTAGGCAACATTGTCAGTTAGTTGAGGTCTTTTCCTTCTCCTTTGCCTCACACACAGCAAAATCACAACAGTTGAGACCATGGCAACCAGTAGTAATGAAGCAACACCAGCAATTGCACCCATAATATCAGAATCTGTCCCTGGTATTGAAGTGGAAACAAACAAGAAGAAGTGATCAAAACTCTCAGAAAATGCATTTGACATGAAAGATTATTTCCTGGTTACTCAAGAACTGTAATCAAATGCAGGAAGACCCACATTGAAAGTAACGCAAAGCCCACCAGATGTGTCACTGGTGACAGATGGTGGAGAGGGAGAAGCTCCAGTCATGGTTGTGTAATAGGTAGATGGAGTGGTTGGGACTGGTGCAGTGTCTCCATCTGATGTTGTCATCATGGAGGATGGTGGAGACTCCATAACTGGTAGTGGTGGTGTAGGCACTACAACAGTGTATTGTACCACGCTTAAAACTCACCTATATCATCAGGCATTGATGGGGAGACTGAGGCCGAGGGCATTGGTGCTGTAGTGACTGTAATGGTGTTTTAGTAATGATAATATTATACCAATGAAATAGCACAAACGTACCAAAACTGAGGCTGATGATGGGAGCTGCAGAGAATGAATCAGTGAGAGAATAGGAATTACTGTCACCTGATATTGGAAACCCACACTCAGTAGGATTGGGTCCACCAAGAGCATAGTGTGACTTTATGGCTTCCCTTGGAAGATCATCTTTGTAATGAACTACCACATTATTGTGATTTTCAAGCCACTGAATACCGCCATCATCATTGTCATCACCATTTCTGAAATGGTCGACATAATATCCCACCACATCTCCAGACTGGACCTCTATCTGCTGGTCTTCTGTCACTGACAGTACCACACAGCGATGGAGTGGGTCATCATTGTCGTCTGGTGGACTGAGGAATCCATCCCCTCCATCACTACCCACTGGTCTGTTGAATCCCACTAAACTGTAGCATCCACTGCCACTGGGTCTCCACACTTGGAACTGGATGTAGTACTGTAACTGCGCATACCACCAGGCTGTACACAGGCCCTCCCATTCAGTGACTCTACCAGAACACTGGAAAGTATAGGCAGGTACTATGGCCAGGAACCTGTCACGATCAGGGACTTCGCTCCTTGGATCATCAGCTCTTCTATCTCCAAACGGTGATGGCAGATTGTCGACACTACACTGCAGTGCTGCCGTAAGCCATTAGTAATTCACATCCAGAAGCACTCCGCAACCTACCTGGCTTGACTATTACCGACAGCAGTACGAGTAGTGAGACTTTCTTCGACATCACGAACCACGAACGCGGCGAATCGGGAGAGATTGCGCATGCGTATTTACGGTTTCTTCGCGGTTCGCGATGCTGAAGATACACACAGAATAACTATAATTATAGTGGAAATGTTGAACATTGTTGGCGAGCGGGAGCGACCCAACTTGGGATTTGTCTGCGATGTTCGGGCTGCATAACGTGCCGTCAGCGCCCAGCTTTCCTTTCGTGAAGCAAGACAGAGTACTGTATATTGGAAGAACGCCGGGTGAGCAGGTGAGCAGAACGGTCCTTACCTCACGCTTTCAGCTTGTCTGTCGTGGTCCACCAGGCAGCTGGCATGGCAGTAGGCTAGGCAGCGATCGATCGGGCTGCCCGACAACGCGGCGTGGTCCACCAGGCAGCTGGCATGCAGCAGTATGTGCACGAGCAATGCTAGCGTATTTGCAGCTTGGAACCATGAAGACTGGGAAGAGGTACAGCCTCGGTCAGTCACCGAAGGTTGCAGAGCATGCCGTCCAATGGAGGAGAGTTCTCTGGCTGGCTAGATCGATCGGCGCATATCGCGAGGCATGTGTGTATACTCTTTGGTGCAGGTAGCTAGCTACAAGAAATCTGTGGTCCATATCCTTCAACGCAAGTCCCAGAATTGTCACAGCTGTTAGGCTGGCAGAAGGTAGCTAATTGCAGGGTCTTCCTCGTGGCATGTATCTCCTGTAAAACCTAGAGGACACTGGCACATGTAGGCTCCACTGGGACACCCATCATCTGTTTGACAGCCATCGACACATGTTGCATTGTTGAGGCATGGATTTTCATCGCAGATATTGATCCGAGTTTCGCAATAGGTTCCAGTCCATCCTGGAGGACATGACAAGTCTCCCTCGCCATGAGCCTTTCCATGAAATGAGTACTGTTTGTGTCCTCGCATGTCCCTCCATTTTGACAAGTAACAAAGTTACACGCACCTGTTTGACAAAATTGTGTGACACATTGGTGATTTTACTGAGTTATGTATAGTAACTGTCATTGTGATTGTTTGTCATTCGGTTTGGACACTAGGTGTGTGGGGAGAGTTGGCATGCCATAAAAGGCTCTTTAACCCAGCGCCCCAGTTCTCAAGGCTGGGTACCTGGTGTCCTACCGTGTTGTGTGCAACTGTGTTGTTTGTGTCTGTGTATGGGTGGAGGATGGGGGGTGGAGGGTGACTTCTGGTTTTCTTTCTTTCTTTTCCTATTCTCTGTGGCTAGTATGCTATAAAAATATACTTTTCATGCTAACACCATACCTGTAGCATGCACAATGCTGCCTGTGGCTTGCGAAGTTTCGATGACTGAGCCACCAGCAGTGCTCTAATTGTCATGTGTATGTCAATTGGATAGTACGTGTCCGGTGGATGGGCTACCAGAATTATAGCGACACCCACTCTGGCAGTGTTGGAGTCAATCATCTGTATGAGGTCCACTGCCTCAATCTGATTCTCACTGGTTCCACCCTGAAACTCAAAGAGGTTCTGCACCAACTGCGACTGGGAAAGACGGAAGTTGAGAGAAGTTGACATCGGGCAGAGAGATGCTGTTGAGATTGATGCTGAGCATGATGTAGAAACCACACTGTTGATTGGAGTCTCGGAGTTCAAATGGGCAAAGTATTGGGTGGCATTGAACATCAAATCATAGCCACTGGGAACTGAATGATAGACAGCCTCAACTTTTACATTGTCACTGATATATTGTGAGGATGGCTTAGCTACATGCTAGGCATTGCCCTGATGCACTGTCACCATAATGCGGCACAGGACACTGCTCAACGCAGTGCTCTTGGTGCAAGTATAATGGCGGATCACAGGCTGCATGTAGAGAAAGGCTACTGTTGGATGTGCATTCAGCGACCTACCACAGTCGTGTTAGGTAAACTTGTTTGTCGATACAGGTCAAATGAAAAGCACTAAAGTGCAAACCCTCGACGAAGTAGCTCGCAGAGAGTCTGACACGAGCTAGCTACAGTAGTAGATAGCACGTTATTCGTTGTGACTTCTTGTGCTTTCAAGATAGACAGAGCAAGCGGACCCGGTCGAGGTAAGCTAAGCGCATGCGCATTAACCGCCAGCGATAAAATGGCGACTACCGGCGCGTGCGTAGCGATAAAATGGCCGACTACGCATTAGCTATACAATGCTGGAAGCGCTCTAGCTTTACAACGGAGCATTTTCAGAGAAAACCCGTTCGACATTTCTGACCTTTATTGCCCGTTAAGTAGGTCGTATCCTTTGTGAGACGAACGAACACCCGAGAAGTGAGATTGAGAGTAACAGACACACAGACTACAGTAACCCTCGCTGCGCACGATACTGCTAATTGATGGGCTGGGCTATTCATGCGTTTACTAGCTCGCGGAGAGTCTGACACTGGCTAGCTCCAGTAGTAGATAGCATGCGGGAGTCGATACACGCCATTCGTTGTGACTTCCTGAGCCACCAAGGTACACAGGAGCGAGCGGATCAGGTCGCGGTAAGCCCAGTGCTAATATCTCTCGAACGCAGTCGTTTCAGGGAAATCGCCTAATAATATTTCAGGTTCGGGTAGTTATGAAGCCGTTGGTATCGCTCATTCGCCACCCCGTAGCCTGTAGTGCCAGAATACGCGTCGACACACAAACCTAACCCTCGCTGCGCATGCGCGCCGAGGGTTAATTTTATTACCAACCCTCGCATGCGCGGTACCGCTAATTGATGGGCTGGGCTGGGCTATTTGTAGTATATATATATGCGTTTACTCGTGGTCTCCCGCTAGAGTAGCTCGCGGAGAGTCTGACATGGGCTAGCCACAGTAGCAGATAGCATGTGGGAGTCGATACACGTCCTTCGTTGTGACTTTTTGTGCCTCCAAGGTACACAGAGCAAGCGGACCTAACCGTGTGGTAATTTGCATATTGGCTTGTTCACTTGGTTTTCACGCCATAACTTCCGAACGCGGCACTTTAAAAAAAATCCCCATTTTAAAAATGAAGCAAGTGTAGCGCTGAACCCGTTGGTGTCGCTATTTTAGCTGTTTGTCACGCGGGGTGGCAGAAAACGTGGACAGACAGCTAGACGGACAGAGTAACCCTTGCTGCGCATGCGCGCCGAGGGTAAATAATACAAAATCGCTTGTGGAAGAGGGAGTGGACTTCGTGGTAGTGTACACTCATGGCTGTGACCAGAAAACACTTCTCCCTACACTCTCACCTGCCGCTGCAAACCTGGAAACACCACAAATGCATACACTGCCACTTAGCTATATGCCTGTGCAATAAGTGGACATTCAAAAACACAATGAGATAAATAGAGTAAGTAGAAGGGCCCAGAACTCATGGAAAAACATACGCAACCGATGATCTTGTTTGGCTCCACAACCCTACGGTACCACCTTATGAGTCAATGAAGCTTTACCACCCCTGGACTGGCTGGACCTTACAAAGTTCTGGAGAAAATTTCAGATGCTGACTACTGCAAGTTTACGGAAAGAAACCTGCACTGGTTGTGCACTTCAATAGACTTAAGCTGTGTCCACCAGGCACCCGACTACCACAACCTCAACAACAGGTAAAAGACACCGACATAGTCAGACCACCCAAGAGCCGTCATTCGTTTCAGTTGCAGTTAGTAGACGATGATGCCCCTGCGATGAGACGATCAACGCGTGAACGATGTCTGGACTTTAGATAAAGCATTGAAATTCGGGACGCATTTTCTTCAAGAGAGGGGGTGATGTAGTGATAACCATTAATGATCAATGGTTGTGGAATGGCCTAAACTTATCACCCATACCTGTTTATGGTCCAGGTCCCACACTAGTGAATGCCCTAACACTGATACTATACTCCACATCTTCCTCCAGACCAGTCAGAGTCTCCACTGTATATGGTGCAGTCACATTTTCAAAGCGAGTGACTACTAGCTATACACCAAATGGTTCATATTGGATCTCATGTTGCCATTTTTGCATAAAAATTATCAGGCAGCTCGACCCAAGACACTGTGATTTCTGTTTCAGATATAGCGGTGGCTGTTGCATTTAGCTTCATGTCAGGCGCTGAATAAGGAAAAACGGTTTGCAGATTTGTATGCACATTTGTATGCGAGAGACACTTACCATCTTCATCTGTTCTTTCCACAACACTGTCACTACACTAGTGCAGGTCCTGAAGCTAATATTGTACTCCACATTTTCCTCCAGATCAGTCAGAGTGGTGGATGTCATACTTGTGCTGGTAATTCCAACAGGTGAACCAATGGGAACTGTGGGAGTAAGAAAGACATGAAGACTGTTTGTATTAGCAAATTCCAAACAGACAAGAGTAGTTGTGTTAGCAAATTCCAAACCGACCTTCCTCCATGTTGTGACAACCTCTTGATCACTGAGTCTGCTGTCTCCAATACCATTGACAGCTACCACAGTAAAGATTTATATACTTGCAGGGTCTGACTCAGCCACTGCAGTCATCAACGTATGCACCATTTCATGGACACTCTGTATACTGTACACTGATACACACACCAGCATCAGTTATGAGGGATTAGGGCATACATATTGCTCGTGAAAGTAGGTAGTAGTGGGGGCATATATGAATGTCATACCAGACATAGTTGCTTCGTGTGTTTAACGACTTGTGATATGTCCCAAGGGAATTGAATTAGCTAACGCAATACATGCATGTCAGGCATGGGGAGGGTTACTCACTTGTGACTGTTGTGACTGTTGTTGGATCTGAGACCAGCCACTACTACAGTCTCATTTGGAGTAATCAGAAACTCCATTGCATTATATCCACTACCGATTAGAAAGTCTGGTCAAATGTACATCACCCTGTAGTGAGTCACTGGAGCGTTGCTGTGGTGAGGTTCCATCCACGTAAGGGTTATGTTGCGAGAGTTGATTTCAATGGCAGTCAAATTCTGAGGCTGCTCCGGAGTATCTATGAGGGACAAAGGAAATACCACATAGCGATAAATTTTGGTAGGGTGCAAAAGAGATACAAAAAACAAATAATTTGAGGGGTTACGTACACAAAAATTGTCACAAACCAAAGTATCCGGAGTATCTATGAGGGAGAGAGGAAATACATGAGGTGGAAATTTTGGCAGGGTGCAGACGAAACATACAATGACAATATCCTGGTAGCTATACAGTAGCGGGAACTTACCTTGGATTAGCACCAGAGCCAGTCTACTCATTACATCATCAAAAACAGAGCTCCTTGCTACACAAGTATAGTTGCCCGAGTTGTTGAAGGAAGTGCTCATGACTGAGAGCGTGCTAGTGATATCAACTTCATCAGAGAAGGTCTCGGTTATAATGATTCCACTGGTGTCTCCAGTGCAGTTTCGTTGTGGAGCCACACTATCTCTGGACGTGGGAATCCGTTAGCACTGCAGTTCAACACCAGAGGTTCAGTCCTTGTGACATTCATATCAGCTGGCTCATCGGTAAAAACAGGAATGACTAGCAAAGCAGATTTCAGCTCACAGTTGATCAGTGGCTGAGTCAGACCCTGCAAGATTATATACTTGCAGGGTCTGACTCAGCCACTGCAGTCATCAACGTATGCACCATTTCATGGACACTCTGTATACTGTACACTGATACACACACCAGCATCAGTTATGAGGGATTAGGGCATACATATTGCTCGTGAAAGTAGGTAGTAGTGGGGGCATATATGAATGTCATACCAGACATAGTTGCTTCGTGTGTTTAACGACTTGTGATATGTCCCAGGGAATTGAATTAGCTAACGCAATACATGCATGTCAGGCATGGGGAGGGTTACTCACTTGTGACTGTTGTGACTGTTGTTGGATCTGAGACCTGAGTCTGCTCCTCAACAGATGTGGCAACACACCGGTACACTCCCTCGTCACCGAATACCGCTGGATTGAATTCCAGGACCCGCCCAATGCTGACTCTAGTGAACACCTGTTCATTTCCACCACTACTGCCACTGACAATAATTGAATTACACTGACGGTACTACTATGTATGAAAATTGCACGTGTGAAGAAAAAAACTCTTGAAAGGATCACGACTCCTAACTACTTTAAATGTGTTGCTTGATCAGGATGACATTCATAGTAATGCATCGGGTCATTTTACAGCTTCGCGGAAACACATACTTTATATGCTGAGAGGAGGCAGGATAGCTTACCACTTTATTACAAAAGTGACTTTCCATTATTCGTTATTGTAGACTATTGCTCATGCGCATGAAACCTGGCTCCAGCATTCACTCTCTCATAATTATGTTGGCGTGTAGCTAGTCACGCATGGTGTGGCTAATCGAGCATTCGTCTTACCTCGCAGGTGCAAGCGTGGCGTCTTGGAAACGGAAAGAATTCATCCAGTCAGGCCAAGTAGCAAACTGATGGACACAGCTACGTACCAAACGCGGCCGAACGATGTATGATTTTCTGCGCGTGCGTGTTGTGCGCTACGCGAGCGCGCCGAGCTTTACTACGCGGCGCGGCGCTGATAGTATGGGTGGCAGCGTCGACTCCACTAGGAACAAAGCCCATTGGGACGAGTGGGGTGGCCTCCCCTACACTCGCCCATAAGAAGCGGATCGTTTCTGAAGCGAATCGTTTTTTCCTGCCGCAATTAACGATGGATACGTTTAGAAAACTCGAACAAGAGAACGTCAAGGTGTTTCGGAATGCCAAGGAAACCGGTCGCAAGCTCGGAGTGGGCTCTTTTGGGTCTGTGGTGGAGTTGATCATCAAAGGTGCGGGGAAGTTTGCGGGGAAGAGGATTCACGAAGCACTGATTATTGACGGAGATTCTTCTATACTCGTGAAAGAGTGCAAGCTAATGTCGGAGCTCATTCACCCAAACGTAACGAAATTTTGCGGCGTCTGCAAGCTGTCGTCCAGCACTGCACCTGTGCTCGTCATGGAGCTCATGGATCGCAGTTTAGAAGACATCATCGAAAACGATAAAGAATATTTTCCCTACACAGTAGCAACATCAGTTTTCATCGACGTAGCCAATGGCTTGGCTTACCTGCACCGTCGCACGCCGCGTGTTCTTCACCGCGATCTAACGGCCCGAAATGTTTTGCTCGACAAAAGCATGACCGCGAAAATCACAGATTTCGGAAATTCAAGGTTCGTTGATGCAACTAAAGTAGTAAAGACCATGACACAGACGCCTGGGACACTGGCATATATGCCCCCTGAGGCAAGTAATCCCCATCCAAAATACAGCGACCGCCTGGATATATTCTCTTTTGGCCACCTTGCCCTTTACGCACTCATACGAGAGTTTCCAAAGGACATTCTCTCTTCTACGTACACAGCTGAAGAAGGTCATCTTGCGGCGCGAAGTGAAGTGGAAAGGCGAAGTGAGTACATGGAAAAGTTAAACAAAGCGTTACCAAAACCAGACCACCATCTGTACCAGCTAGTGGTGCAGTGCCTTCACAACGACCCCGTACGTAGGCCAGCATCTACAGAGCTGCTACACTGGCTTCAGGCAGTTCAGGAAGTCGAACTAGACGATTTTGGAACCGATGCCGAACTTGGTGTTAGAGAGGAAGAAAGGGTGTCAAATTCACTAAAGGAAATGCAATTAGATATCGACAGGCGTCAAGTAGAAACTATATATTATGAGGTGAGTATTGAGGTATGCTAATAAGAACCGCCGGGGAAATTTTAATCGAGCTGTCTGTCATATATATAGCTATACGCTGTCACGTATCATGCTAAATTGTGCAATGCAGACGAGTTACAGCGGATATCTTACCGGCAAGGTGAACGGGAGCGACCCAACTGCGGATATACAACCGTTGGTGAGCATTCACAGGGAGCGTTATAGCTTGGTGCCTCTGTTGCGTGCCCGCACAGTTTCAAGAAAGGCGTGTGCCGCTGCTCGGGTATTCTGAAGCGAGATGCTGCCCCTGCGAGCTATGTCAGTCTTGGTATTTGCCGCTCCCTTGCGCCGAGAAAAGCGCGTTCCCGCTCATCGGCTGCTCTAAGCAACAGTTAGACTCGGCTTTGTGGCTGTCGAATCACTACAACATTACGGTATGTGTGGCATCTTCCAGCGCGAGCACTGGACACGCGTCATAGATTACGTAACGAGTTGCAATCTCTCTCGTAGAGAATGTACTAGGAATGCGCACGCGCATATCTTGCCTCGCGCCTGCCAGCCAATGCGTGCGTAAACAGTCCGCTGAGGCCGCTCGTTCGCGCGCTCTATACTGCGCGCGCGAAGCCAGACTTCTGCGCGCGCGCATGGCGGAAGCTAGACTTCCTTACGAATGACGGAAGTTGACATTCTTAAGTGTTACTAATTGACATTCCCCAAGCGTGACTAATTGACATTCTTAAGCGTGACCGACACGTATATACGCATATCGCGAGAATACAACCCGGAGTAGTCACGCTAACGCGCTCGGCAATAAAATCGAAGCCAAGCAAGGACCGAACAAGTTTTGGAGTTGAATAGGTGTATCTCTAGAAGCATTCACGGGAACACCGATGGTCCTAGCGAGTTACAGTGAGAAATGCTAGAAGCCTCGTGGCACTCAATATTGTCCCATTCACAATAAGATACAGATTACTCTACCTCTTTTCCATCCCTTCTACAGCTGCCTGCAAAATTTCAGGTGCATCCGTCAACGTTTGCACTACAAAACTAGGCTATAAACTGAAGAGGTCGACGCTAAACGCCATACATTATTGGCGAGCGGGAGCGAGCCGTCGCAACAGGCTATTTCGTTCGTACGTCGTGTACGTGCGCATGCGCGGCCTCGTTACGTATGTGATTCGAATATTTCGCAATCGTCTGTGCTTACACACGCCGCGTGGTTGGCCAGCCCCATCGATCGCTGCCTTCATGCCAGCTGCCTTGTGGACCACGACACTGACAGACCAGTTGAAAGCGTAAGGTAGGTACCGTTCTGCTCACCTGCAGATACGGCTAGCTACATGCCAGCTGCCTGGTGGACCACGACTGACAAGCTGAAAGTCGTTCTGCTCACCTGCTCACCGTTCTGCCAATGTACAGTACGCATGTAACGGCGACAGGTAGATCTGTCTTGCTTCACGAAAGGAAAGCTGTGCGCTGACGGCACGTTATGTAGCCCGAACATCGCGGGCAAATCCCAAGTTGAGTCGCACCCGCTCGCCAACAATGTTCAACATTTCCACTATGCACTAGTTACGTATATACAGTTCTTCATGCACGACGACCGTGTCCAACCGCGGCGCGAGCTATTATAGCTGCGTGCGCTGGTGCAAGCAGTTCGATTTTGTTTGCGCGTATTTAGATAATCGGGCCCGTTGACACGACAGCAACCGCTCGCGCCTAGAAGAAAGCTAGTCAACTGCTGACGAGGTGTAGAAGGAGGAATACTTACCAACGAGGCTCCCATTCACCCCCGGCGAATCTGCACATACTTTGGCACACATTTGTCAGTGTTATGCGCATGCAATACACAAGTCAAGGCAACCACACGGATTTTGGAAGTGTAGTAGCGGGCATTTGGAATGCCACAGCCCCAGGGGCTTGGCCTCCTATATCCACTTAGTTTCCTACGACCTGGAGTCTAACTGTTGCTTAGAGTATAGCAAATAATGATTGCTCAACTGGTCAATGTGGTTTCTTCTGAGGAACACTATTACATAGTAGAAGGAGGAATACTATCAAGGAACGCTATTGGATAGTGTTCACCCCCAGGTCCTTTGGAATATGTTTTACGCATACCGACTCTAAAATAGTTAGACTATATATGAGTCATGGAAACCATGCAATCTTTGAACCCTCATCCTTTCTGCGCTCAGAACACCACAGCTCCAAGGCCTTTGCCTCCTACTTTCTTATGAATCATCATCTAATTATTGCATTTTGCTCGCCTACACATCATGTGCGATAAAGAAGGGACACTCCTAAATAAACGGGAAAACCCTCGATAAAGGACACACTTTGATGTCCCCAATTTATATTTTAACCTCCAAAGAGAGGGAAACCTCTCTAAAAATGGCTGGTCCCAAAGCGTACATTATTCGGAGGTATATATATATACCACTGTAATAGGATGGTTATTTTCAGTGTACATTATTGTTTATGTACTAACACAATGCTTTCACTTCAAGGATCCTGCAGTGAATAGAAAAACGGGTCTTATTGAAAAAAGATCTGGGGGGAGAAGAAGGGAGTGGAAAGCATATTCGTTTACATTGAATTTCACAAAAGGAATTTTTCAGTATACTAGACCCGGGGTATGTTTATGTTAATTAAAACGAAAACATAGTTAGAATTATTTTTCTCATTATACTATATAGCCTTTTGGAAAGACTCCCCAGATTCGATTGGATGAGATAACCCAGATCAAGCAGTTAAAATCTGGAGGTGATAGATTCCCATTTGACGTCTATTTTGATGGGAGGAACTCACCATGGGAACTTAATGTCTACTCTGAGGTGATTACGCATTATTAATGTATGTGTATGTAGCTTATCATGCTTATTTGCTGATATTCCAGGATGAGCGACGACAGTGGATGGAAGCTCTTTCCACTAAGGTACAACAAGGGGGCTTAGTGCATAGTTCATTTTGAATAACCAATCAGATTTGTCAGTACGAGAGCTTCCTGATTTCTCATTATGAAACCTCGTGGCTCATGATAATTACACAATGACTTCTGAGCTCCAGTTAAAAAGCATAAAGCCTGTTACAATACTCAGCAGCTGCCACTTTTAGGAAATACCCAGACTTTACTCTGAGAGAAGAAAAATGTCAAGCAAGCATGAGAATGCACACAGAAAGCCCTACGTTAATGAGGTCAAAGCAAAGCAAAGGCAAACAAATCAACTACACCCAGGACATCTAAGGAAAAAAACAAGAGCTGCCCTAGGTGTGATTCGAACCCACGACGCTCTGCAGTCTAGGCGAGCGCTCTACTAACTGAGCTACATACCAGGGCAACTGAGCTGGGCATGCTGCAACTTGCAAACCTATAACTAGCACTCCTGATTTAGCACCAATTGTCACTGTATATACTCATCTTGAGACTGCCTTGCTGGCCAGACCCTAGTTCTTACAGTAGACCACCCACCCTCCCTAACCTTTGTGCATACATTAGCAGGACTGTACTGAGATAATTAGCAGGAGCGTCGTGTCATGGCAGGATGTATATGATTTGGTGAGCGGGAATGAACCTGTGTGCCTTAGATGAAGAGCCAAGCCTGTTTGCGACTGCACCAGAAATGTTTTGTCTTCACTCTGCACATCTCACAACGTTCTCAGATGATTCAGTGGCTACCGTCTCAGCTTTGTGCCCACCAGTTACCGAGTGGAGCCATCACGCTTTTGAATCATGAGTGATGACCCCAACGGCTTTCAAACTACACAGCACAACTAAGCTATGCGCAGTGTCACCAGACTCCCGAGAGTCTTGTCAGTGAGACCTTTTCCTCCTCCTGAAGCAGGAGGCATTGAATTGAAATTTCTGGCTGCATCACTGTCCTTTTTTGTGCGCCCTCAATCTCCGGGGACCACAACTGGTGTCTGAGCAGCTTCATTATGCATGTTTTCCAATGCACATAGCTGGGCCAGCATGCAGGAAGACTAACAGTAGCAACTCGACAAGCTCTGTCTTGCATGCCTTGGCATGGTGTTACTCTCTTTATGGTGCTCTTATGAGTCACCAATAGCCCAGCCCATCAATTAGGGGTATCGCGCATGCGCAGTTTTCCGAGGGTTTGCACTTCAGTGCCTATAGGAAAAACTATATACCCCGGGAAGCACTTACCTATTTCTATTTTCAGGGTGATGGAAGGGAAGACACACAAGGAAGAGTGCAGAAAAGTAAAACATATGTTCATTTGTCACATAAAGAAGAGAATGTTTACGACTTTATTGATCCACCAACTCCACCTCTATCTCTTTATGAGACTCTTCCTCCACTTCCACCCCTACCTCCTGATGTAGCTTCTCACAGATTGAGTGGCAGTGAAGATGTTTATGAATGCATTGATCTTTCGGTTACCGATCTTTCAGGTGTGGCTCATAATGCACCTCCACCTCTACATTCAGATGTGGCTCCTTCTCATAATCAACCTCTACGCCTTAACATGCCACTTCCTCCACATTCTTTTTTACAGTTCCTCCCCCACTTCCACCTCTACCCCTAATTGTGTCACCCTACCTACCTCCACCTCCTCCTCTTAAAGTGGTCCCTCCCCTACTTCAACCCTCCTCCAGATGCGGCTCCTTCCCCACCTCCACCTCTTAATGTGTCACCCTCCTTACCTCCACCTCCTCTTAAAGTGGTCCCGCCCCTACTTCCACCTCCTCCAGATGCGGCTCCTTCCCCACCCTCCACCTCTACCAGCTCCTCTCCTACCTCCTCCTGGTGTGGCTCTTTCCTCATCTACTTCTTCCCCATTTCCACCTGCAGATGTAGCTGATGTGGCTCCTGCCCTGCCTTACCCTCCTTATGATGAAGCCGCTTCCACACTACTTCCTGATGTGGCTCCTAGCAGAACAAGTGACGATGAACATTTTTATGTAAAGATAATTGAAGCCCTGGAAAGAGAATTTTAATCCAGTCCAGTTGGATGCATTTGCTCAAAAACTAGCCTCGACTCAGGGAAAACATCTGCAGAACATTTCAACGACTACATCAGTTCCACAAGAGGATACCAAACCGCAAGAATTACAAGAGAAAATGCCCACAGCTGGCTCTGAGGCAGAACCAGAAGAATTGTATGAAGAATTTATTCCACTCGATCATCAAGAAGAGGAAGAGTTAGATGACGTTTATGAAGACCCAGATAAACCAAGTACATACATTGCCCCTGTTGCCATGCGTACAGAGCGCATTGGTGAGTCATTTTTAAAATCACAGTTGTTCAAAAATTAATGTTTTAAACTGATGCAGGATCATGTGCGGGCTTACAAATGCTACAGGAAAAAGCTTTTTCAATACGGTTGTCATCGCTTTCCCACATGGAAAAGATTGGAGAAGGTATTATAAAAGCTCACACAATAATGTTAGCCTTTACAGGATGACCATGCATGCATGGCGAGGGTCTGTGTCTCATGTGCTCCCGTGTGAAAGAGGGTTTAAAAAATATGATGTGACACAAAGGTAATGGTCGCTCTGGGTGCACATGCAGATCTATGCAACGATCGAGAAGTGAACACATGACTATCGCATGTGTTACGCAATTTTTCTGTACACATGCTGACTCAGCACAACCAAGAATTCCGACGTACCAGACCCTCTTTTGCAGCGGTAGCACGTGAAGGTCTGGGCACGAGACTATGTGTCTGTCTGTGTGTCCGTTTTTTGGTGTTTGACTCTATATCACTACAGGAAACTGACTTGGTGGCATAGAAGCAATATTTGTTGAAAGTATAGCTATAGTTCGTTTAAAAGTTATGGTGCTAATGTGGCAATAAGTATCAATCAGGCAACTGTAAAAGGAACAGGGATTAAATCAAGTGCTGCCCCAAAATGCTACCCAATGTTGCAGATAGTGAATGTTGGAGTACACTAACATAATTATATAGAGCGTCGATAGATGTGCCTCATGTTTGGTGGTTGGTTAGAGGATCCGCCAATACAGCTTGGTCAGAAAACCACATGCAGCCCCGTTTAAAGCACTGTGCGGCAGGCACCACACGTAAAAGATTTTATAGTCACAACACGCAATGTGAATGAACAACAGCTGCACTATGGCCGCAATTGGCTTGCTCACCAATAATGCACTGCCTATAGTTTTCGAGCATTTGTACAGTAATGCTTTCATTGTGTAAAGGCTGAATTTCCTTACAGGCCAGTACGGAGAAGTATATCAGGCTCAGATGGATAACACTACTGTTGCAATAAAGGTAATCAAGAGGTTCTCCTCACTCAAAGTGATGAGCCAGTTCGAGAGAGAGATGACCACCATGACTCAAGTATCTCACCACAACCTTGTAAAGTTGCATGGAATAATGAGAGAAGGTATAAATCTACACGTGGGAATTGTAGCCTGGGAAATAATAGTACTTGCCAGCATAGAAAAGTGGAAAAAAATCTTTTAGGATGTCAGTCACGAAAAAGGAAGACCCCCACTCTGTGACAGAAAATAATGTAATACCATAACTATAGCACGTAACTATAATTATATGGAGGGAGAAAGCTTTCACATTTCGGTAGCAAACAGGAATTTTGTGGAGAAAATTTTAGACCCCGCAAAAATTTTTTCGCTGCCTACAAAATTGACTAACATGGGGACGAGTAATAAACCTTGAAATTCTCACATTTTGGTTTTGGACTATAGTGCATTGTTTCACACAGTGTAACATCCCCACATCTACCTGGCCATATGTATTTTCACAGGTCCGTTCTCTCCAGCATTGGTAATGGAATATCTACCATATGGAAACTTGAAAATGTTTTTAATGGTAAGTATAACCAAATCACGAATATAGAGTAAAAATTAACATTCTATAGAGAGAGGGACAACCAAATGAGTTCCTGATGAAATGTATGACAGACGTAGCAATGGGTATGCACTATCTTTCTGAGCGAGGATTGATCCATCGAGTAAGTTCTTATAATAAACTACTGTTAGTGTTACAAATCAGCAATTTCCTTTAGGATCTGGCAGCACGAAACGTGTTAGTAGATGAGAACAAGACATGCAAGGTCTCTGACTTTGGACTCTTACGAGAGGTTCCGCGGGACAAGAGTATCTATGTCTCACAGAACGATGGCCAATCTCCACTACGGTGGATGGCACCCGAGAGTATTACCGACAACATCTTCTCACCTGCCACTGATGTGTGGAGCTATGGAATACTGCAGTGGGAAATGTTTTTCCCTCATAGAAACCCCTACTATGACATGGACAACACGCAAATGGTTGCAAAAGTAAGCCGTGGCTACCGAATGGCCATTCCCAGAGGGTGTCCGCCGCTTGTTGTAAAGATCATGAGGGCTTGTTGGGAATATGATCCGAACGAAAGGCCTAATTTTCTGCTTATATCCAACCTTCTCACTCGTCGCGAACAAATAGCTAAAAAGATTTAATCAATTTAGGTTCTCTTTCATGATCACTTTAGAGTGCGTGTGAATACTGGATTATACGTATCACGCAGTTTTATGGGCGCGGGCACAATACAAAGACAAGAGGAGTGGTGGAGCTAGGCTGCAGTACGGTGGCCCTACATAGCAACTGTACCGCAGTCTAGTACTTCCTCTACTTGAATACTCTCCCTACGCGTGCACATGCTGAGTAGAGGGGATCAGTCAGTGTGATCTGTGGCGTGCCTTTTTCTCTATATTATTGTCAATGTGTTCGAGGTGATATATCCTTTTGCGCGACGAATTTCTTTTTTCCCCGAGAATTTCTTCAGAAGGCAGCGACATTGTTGCAACGAAAATTCTCTTTCACGACTACGATTAGCAGATTTTCGCAACTAGGACAAGTGATGCATTTTTGCAGGGAGTTTGGTCCGTGACAGAGTTTGGAGGTAAACCTATGCCAAACCTTGCACATGTGCAGTAGAAGCTATATTTTTTCCATAAGGATTGGAGACAATCTCACCTGTAAGCTGTAGAACAAAGCCTACCACATGTTCGTAACCTGGACCCACCTCAGACTCTATTATATACGTCAAGCTAAGGAACCCTGAGTACACCATCTCGACACACTCTCTGGCACTATTACACAGGTCGATGAGTGTTGCACAAATTTAGTCCTGTGTGCTTAGAAAAGCAGCATTGCTCACCATTTGCACTAAAGTTCAAACCTTCAGCACACTAGAAACGTCATATACACATGCAAGGTATATACTAGGTAGATTGGCTGTCTTGAAGAGTCTGATAGTGTTACCGTTCTCATATGTACACACCAAAATGGTCATGGACATAGGCAATCTGTAGAAACACCCAAAATAGTGACGGACATAGGGCAATCCTAAATGGTTATTTTAAGAGGCTTTTGCATAAACATGTTATATACCATACAGATAGCTGATTCGTTATGCACTCCATAAAACATATTGTAAGTTGAATGGCCAGCCCTACATCTCTCCAGACAGACGTCTATTGCTGTAGTGCAATGCCAAACAGTACGCTGTCCTTTGAGATGTATGTGGTTCAATGGTAGATTCGTGGGTAAGGAGAGGAACTGGAGCTGTTCCCAGCCAATGCTCTGGACCACCTGTCAGTTTCAGTGCGGGTCCGGGATTCGAACCCGGCACCTTATGCTGATGGTCCCCACATCCCTAACCACTTAGCCACTCGGACTGTCAAGTAGAAGTGACACTCACATTACATCATTTATATATAGTGACACGTACAGAGATCGAACCTTTGACCTCAAAATCAAGTCTGTAGCTATATCCTACTAGCTCTCTGTTATATACCTACTCCAGGTTGGTATCATTAATCATAACCTGAGACAGTGTGTGTTTCTGGTGCAGATTATTATAGACAGACAATACACACACACACACACACACACCACATAGATGCACCAGCCACCTATCTACAAGTAATGTCTTCTTATCACTCGGACGGAGTTTACTACCATACCACCCATAGTGTCGTTCCCTCACCCCTCACTCTACATAATGAACGAGGCTTGGAACTCTACTACAACTCGGCTACAATATAGGGATTGTGTGATGGGGTTGGGGGTGTCAGTGTACTCAAATCTGTTCATTAACCATGCTTCATGAATCCCATCCCTATCTTGTCTCCCTTTCTTTTTATACCATCCCTATAATTATTATGCCTCTTTTTTTAAATTCGCAGGATTTACTTATTATGCCTCTTTTAATTCGTCTCCACTCATCTACTACGTATTATCGCTGTGGAAGGGGGCAAGCCCCTGCTGGGGAGGATAGCTCGCTGCCATACTGCTTGAACTGATCGGCCGTCGTATTACAGGCTCTCCAGGAGTGGTGGTCACGCGTAGGGCAACGCCCATTTTCGGCGCGCATGCGCGTATACACACCATTACGCAACTCATTTGACTTTCCTGTCTGTTTTGTTCCTTGTTGTCCTGTTTTTTTTGTTCAATTTGTTTCAAACTGTGTGCCCCAAGTCGTGCTTTAATTTCCGTTATGTCCATCAATTTTGGTTAGCTACTTGACCCGAACCAAGACGCCACGCTTGCACCTGTGAGCTAAGATTCTGTTGAGGTGTACAAATTGACATAGTAATGGCAAAAGCAGTGTTCAGAGGAGGGCTCTGTGCACCAGCCATGTCCACAGACAAACTGGTTCATAGTCTCCATCAGCATCAGTAGTGGTAGGCCCAGAGGAGGAGGTGGGAGAAGGGAGGTCTGGTAGTACCTCATATTCGTCTTCAGCTGTCCTTCCAGTCCCTTTCACTACATTGTAGGCCTCGTTACTGGTGGTCTGGAGCTCGTCTGGATCTCTGTGTGGCATCAGTGGTATATAAATCTGTTTTGTATGGGGAGACCTACGCATAAATTGCCTCTGAGAAGTTGGAGAGCTCCACTGATTGATTTGTAGCTACAACTGCGGCGCTGTATAAAATCCAATGACATGTGTCATAGCAATGTAAGAGTGTATCTCCTGCCTTGTTTTTGCAGAGTAATTTCCACTGCGACTTCTTAACAGTAGAATCACTATCACTACGACTGTTAGTGAAGTAGTGATCATAAAGACCACAGCCACTACTCCACCAATAATGGTTGAAGTATCTGTCTCAGTGCTTGAACTGTCTGCCTGGAAAACATCAGTCATTAAAAGGGAATGAATGATAACAAAACATTGTTGAATATCATTACACACCAGTGCGGAAAAGGATGGGAGTGCTGTCAGTGGTTCCAGCTACATTAGTGGCTCTAACAGTGAGTGTGTAGATGGTGGAGGGGTCCAACTGGTTGATGGTGTAGGTAGTGCCAGACAGAGGACCACTGGTGCTCTCAGTGCCTCTGTCAGTGGGTCTCCAGACCACCTCCCAACTGGCCACCATCCCACTGGACACATTCCAGGAGAGGGAGATGAAGGTGGCTGTGATGGAGCTCACTGACACCAACACCTGCCCTGGAGCTGGGACTGGAATAGGGGATTACATTTAGATGAGCTGTCGTATACTGTAGCAGAGGAAGTGATATTGAGCTTACAGGGTGGGGAGCTATTGGCATTTGCCTTCAAAACATGAGGAAAGATAACAACATACCCAGACAGAATAATTGTAAACCGAGCGTAGCAGTTATTGCAGACAAGGTCATGATGAAATTTTTCAATTCAGGAAGCAACATGGGACAATTATGCACCACAGCCCTGGAATATGACAGAGGTACAGAAAGGTGGGAAAATGTCTCAAGGGTGTGGAACCTTTGGTCCACAAAGCACCGTCAAAGAAGGACGAATGCAAACTGTTTGAATGGGAGAGAAAGGCCCACAGACGAGAGCTGCCCTTCCTGCTGGGCCACAGCTACAAGTCAAGTGGGCAGTACGATGTGACACTAACCACCCATCTGGACTACAACAGACTGAGTCTGCTGGAGCAGATCCTGGAGACCTGGAACGGACCTGCCAGTGTGGCCATTCACGCCAGTTCTTTCCCGCCGGTGGTCGATCGTGAGAGCTCAATATATTGCATGCTCTGCACCGGCTGTTCGTAGTCGCTGACCGAGGTGGAGTGGCTCATGAAGCTGCAGCCGCGCCCCAGCGTGTCTTCCAGGACTGGCTACTGGTGGAGGTATATAGCTATGTCGACTTCGCCGCTGCGGTAGATGCTGCGGAGAGCCGGCGCCGGAGGAGAAGGTGAATGAACCGGACGGCTCCCAGAATTGTCACAGCTGCTAGGCTAGCAGAAGGTAATTGCAGGGTCATCCTCGTGGCATGTATCTCCTGTGAAACCTAGAGGACACTGGCACTTGTAGGCTCACTGGGACACCCATCATCTGTTTGACAGCCATCGACACATGTTGCATTGTTGAAGCATGGATTTTCATCGCAGATACTGGTCGAGTTTTGCAACAGGTTCCAGTCCACCTTGGAGGACATAACCAGTAGGCTTTGGTACATTATTCCATCTTTTCCTGCGCTATTATGCTATTCTCATGTTTCACCTATTATTAAAACCCTCGGCGGCGCGCATGCGCAGCGAGGGTTACAGCACTTGGTCTGTCCGTCTGTCCACGTTTTCTGCCACCACGCGCGACAAACAGGTAAAATAGCGACACCAACGGGTTCAGCGCCAGCCCATCAATTAGCGGTACCGCGCACGCGCAGTTCGCTGAGGGTTTGCGCACTTTGCGAGGGTAGTTGGGTCTGTGTGTGTACGTGTGTGTGT